CCTTCCTGCCCAAGCCATCCTCTCTTTGGCCCCAGTCCAGCCTCCGGGATCCCAGGCTTCCTGGTAACCTTGCCCACTGCCCCCAGGGGACCCCACTGCCTTCCTCTTCTGGGAGCCAGTCTGAGGTGCACTGTGTCTCCAAGCATGCCCTACTAGTCCAGACTGGTGCGCTTCATCCAATAGTCAGACACTAGCAGCCATCTTCTCAGCAGCTGCTACCTTGTCCTCTAGTTGTCCTGTGTGGCTTCTCTCCCCGAATCACCCAAGGCCCACAGAGCCCAGCTCCTGCGCCTCTCCACATGGCTCCAGCACATACAGACCCAGTATAGCTCTCTTTTTGGGTCACAAGCTGCCTTGCCAGATTTAAGACTCAAGGGAGAGACACAGGCCTGTCACCGCTTCCTTGAGCACCCTGCCACTCAGCAGTGGGACCTGGCATTCAGGGACAGCAGCAAGAACAGACGGTGCAGGTGAGGCTTAAGCTGCTGTGTGAACAAGCAGCTGCTGTGCCCCACTTCTCCTGCTAGCTCCTTGAGTCTCACCTCAACAGTGGGAGGCAGGAAGCTCCCCCACCCCGCAGGCTCCATGAAGCTGTTTATTGTCGGCTCCTGTCTGGGGTTTGCTACCCTCACCTCTGGGTTCATAGCAACTGGTGTTATGCTTGGAAGTTGGATGCAATAACGACTTGTGCTACGGGTGAGCAGACTAAGGCACCAAATTTACCTCCAGCTACACAGCCGGTGCTGGCCAAGCCGCAGGGCCCAGGTCTCAAGGCTCCTATGACAGCACCTATCCACACTGTCCACAATGGGGGGACCCTGCCCAGGGACCGCCTCCTAATCACTGGCTCCTCGGCATAGGCAGGCTCTGTGCACCTGCTGTTCCCATTGGCTGTAGGACTTTCTCCTCACAAAAGATCAGCTGTGTCTTTGAACAGGGTAAAGAGGTGCCTACCTGTGGCACAAAGGTCCCTGTGGTTCCCAGCCCAGGAGTTGAGTGCGAAGTGGTGGGCAAGGAGCTGTGGTGGCTCCTGCCAGCTGAGATTGCCTGGGTCCTGCAGGGAGAGTGAGAAGAGTTGCCTTAGAGGTGAGGGGTGCAGGACTGACAGTGAGGGTACAGCAGCCTCCACCTCTCCAACTCTGCCTCCTTTGGGAGTATACCCAGTGAACAGCACCCCAGTTCAGTCCCCAGGAAGCTTTCCCTCACCCCTATCTGCCCCTCTGTCATAGTGCTGATCCCAGAACTAGGGTGACTCCGAGAAGGACCAGCTCCAGGCAACAGAGGGATAGAGCTTTCCAAATTTCTTTTCATTCCATTTTGTTTTCTTTTCCTTGGTGATATACAATCTGCTGTCGACCAGAGGCTCTGTGGGTGCCATTCTTTGCCCTCTGAGGAACATGCTTCATGAGTCATGACCTCAGGGAGCATACAGAGGCTTATTTCTCAATCATGGAGGGAAATGGGATAGGTGGCTCATTCATGCACTAAGCTGGTCATACTGTTGTTAAACCCTCTACTTCTAAGAGCCTCCCTGAAGCCTACCCCGGGGGCCAGAGCCATGATTTCTACCCAGACCTTGCCTCCCAGCCCTCAGGGAAGCATCTCCCCAGTCTATGGCAATGTGACCAGGTCTCCTGCCTAAGACTCTCAAGCCTGGAATTCTACTGTGAGTCAGGAAACTAGGCACAGTTCCTGTTCTCTGAAATGTGACCTGTTGTCCAGGAAGGGGCTGCAACGGCTCCTCCAACAGAAGGCGTTTGACCGGCTGCCTATGAGATGAGTGAAGGCCCTCAGAGCCAAGACCTCAGCTGCTGTGCACCAACTGGACCAGAATAGACCCAGCTTCAGAATAGACTCAGCTTCAGAAACTTTCAGTTACAAAGATCTGGACATGCTGACTCTGCAGCTCAGAGTACTTGTTTAACTCACATTTACATGCTGTATACAAGGCTGGGCCTGGCAAAAGACCTGACTCCCAAATCCCAGGGTAAGACAGGAGCCCCTGCTTCAGCCTGGCCCAGCATAGTTTCTCTCCCACGACTGAGGCTCCTGAGCCTCAGCATGGGCCTGTGTGATGGACACACTCACCCTGAGACCTCTAAGCACCTGCCTGCTGGCTGGGGCAGCAGAGGGAAGGCAGAGCTCCTGTCCCAAGTTCTCAGTTCTCAGAATGCTGATGGTTTCCACACCATCATCCTTTTCTCTGTTAAGCAAAAAACAAGGTTCCTTTCTCTTCCAAAGGCCCAGGTCCCGTCTACCAGCACGTCCTGGTGGATGTACTCAGGATCCTGCTCCCAGCCTCTCCAGCTGCCTCAGTCACCACTGCCCTCTTCACTGGGCCTGCTGGTGAGTCTCAGAGCTTTGCTTCCTTGGTCACAGCCCTCAGAAGGCCCAGGCTCTCCTGCCTATCGAGGTCTCTTTTGCTCTGCCCCAACTCCATCTCTGACTCTATCTTCCATCTTTGCTCCCTGAGGTGCAGCCACAGGGTTTCTGCCTGCCCCAACTTACTGTGGCCTCAGGGCTGTTGCATATCCTCTCCACATAAAGACCTTCTTTACTTGGTGTATTCTTCCCAGAGCTCAGAAAAGACTTCCTTCACCCACCTACCTCAGTTTTCTCCTCCCTCTCCCCTGTTCCTTACCAGAATGCCACTTAATGTGTTGTTTTGGTTTTGTTTTTTGCCAGTAGCATGCAGTTTTTAACACAGTAGCTCTGTAGCATAATTTCAACTCTGGAATTGCTATGTCCCCAGCTTTGCCTTTGTTGCCCAGGATTGCCTTTGCTATTCTAGGTCTCTTCTGATTCCAGTTGAATTTTAGGATTGATTTCTCGAATTCTGTGAGACATGCTATTGGTATTTTGATTGGTATGGCATTAAATCTGTTTAATGACTTGGGGATATGACTTCATTATATTGGTTCTTCCTACCCATGAGCAAGAGATGTTGTTGCATTTTCTGATATCCTATTTAGTCTCCTTTTCAAGAGTAGTGTATCAATGTAGAGATCTTTTACTTCCTTAATTAGATTGATTCCTAGGTATTTTTTTACTGCTATTGTGAAGGGTGTGGTTTCCCTAATTTCTCTCTCAGTGAGTTTATTACTTATGTACAGGAAAGTTATTGAGTTTGGAATTATCACTTTGTATCCAGCTACACATCTGAATTTTGTTATTAAATCTACAAGTCTTTTGATGGAGTATTTGGGATCTCCTATGTAGATGTAGAATATCATATCATTTGCAATTAATGTAATTTAACTTCTTCCTTTCCTATCCTTATTCCTTTTATTTCTTTCTCTTCTCTAATTGCTCTGGTTGTTTCCAGAACTATATTGAATAAGAGTGGTGATAGCAGACATCCTTGTCTTGTTCCTGATTTTAAAGAGAAAGCCTTCAGTTTTTGACCACTTAGTATAATGTTGGTTGTTGATTTGTCATAGAAGGATTTTATCTGATTGAGATAAAAACTTCTCCAATTTCCTTTAGGGTTTTTAGCATTAGACTTGTCAAATGCCTTTTCTATGTCTATTGAGAGTCTGTAACTTCTGCCCCTACCTCTGTTGATATGGTGGATTACATGTATTGATTTGCAAGTACTGAACCATCTTTGCCTCCCTGGGATGAATCCAACTTGGTCATGGTGTATAATCTTGTTAATGATTTGCTGCATCCTGTTTGCACATATCTTACTGAAGATGTTTGCATCTATGTTTCTTATAGAGATTGGCCTGTAGGGCTCTTATTTTTTGGTTGGATCCTTCTCTGGTTTTGGTAATGCTTGGTAATCTCAGGATAATGCTTGCTTCCAGAAATGAGTCTGGGAGTGGTGCTTCTGTTTCAATTTCATTGAAGAGTTGCAGGAGGAGTTGCATTAGATCTTCTCTAAATTTCTTGTAGAATTCAACAGTGAATCTTTCTAGCCTGGGCTTTTCTTCAGTGACAGGTTTTAAATTACATGTTCAAAGCCAAGTATGGTGGTGCATGCCTGTAATCCCAGCATTTGGGAGTCTGAGGCAGGAGGACTGTTGCACACTCAAGACCAGTCTGAGCTACAAAGTGAGCTCAAGGTCAGCCTGAACTGCTAGTGAGGCCCTTTCTCAAAAAGACAAAAAGATTTAATTACAACTTCAAATTCAGGACTGACCTCAAAAGACTCACAAATAAATCAGCAAACAGAAAACTACTTGCTGATTTACCTGTGAGTGTCCTTGGAGGGCAGGACACCCAGACTGTTGCCAGGCCTGAAACTCACGTGCATATGTCAGGTGCACACGAACACTAGTGTGTGATTTGAGTTGATCTGAAATAACTATCAAGGGTGCAGGAGATAATGAGTGGAGATTGCATTTGCCCTTGAGACTAGTTAGGCCTCTGAGCAGTTGTCACAGGTGCTCTCACAGAGCGGGCACAGAACCTGCTAAAGAAGCCACCTGCCTGTCCCATCATCTATGTAACCCTTGTTATACAGTTACATAGAGGGCATAACCCATAGTTCTCAAAGCCTTGGTAAGGATAAGTCATACTCCACAGTGCCCATAAAGTTGGGGGTATCCTCACTGAGGGCCCAGAAAGTCAAGGTAGTGGGGACTGAGAAACCCCTCTCCAGGGCACCTCCTCCTCCTGCACCCAGCCCAGAGGGGACATCATCGTCGTCTCCATCAGGGTCACTGCACTGCCCTGGCTGGCTAAGACTGCTCTCCGTAGGTCCTGTGCCGCGACCACCAGATCTCAATCGGCACCTCACATATGGTCCTGATAATGATGCCATGTGGCTCCCACTTGCATTCCAGCCCGAGAAGCTCTTTTCAAATCATTTTCAGTATGTACAGGATGTGTCTTCCGTTAGCAACAGCATGCAGGCAGGCAGCTTCTCACCAAAGAAGTGGAGCAGGCATCCAAGGGAAACGCGGGCAAGCCCAGACTACAGCCCTGGAGCTACCAGGTGTGGGGACCAGGCACCCTATCCCATCCTGCACAGTGCGGCCCGCGAGCGAGCGAGCTCTCCGCACCTTGCCTTTACAAGTCCCTTTCCGTGTGAATGTAAAATATTTAAAATTATATTTGTAACTGTATTCATGCAAGGATGACTATAATCCTAGAGGAGGACTGAGAAGAGGACCACCGGTGGGGGCAGTGCAGACTCCACAAGGCCCCTCTGGGAAGGCAGAAAGGGCGGGCAGGCCGTTCAGTGGGAGAACTCGGGGTTCACTGCTAGTGCCCATCCCCCCTCACCTGGTGAGTGTGGGCCCCGGAAGGCAGTGAAGAGCGCAGAAACTCTGAGCAGGCTCCGTGCTCGCCCCAGTGTGGCCTCTGAGAGCCTCCGGAAGCGGCGCGCGCGATCTGGGCCGGTCGAGCCCGGGGAACCCCGAGGGGCAGCGGGGCGGGGCGGATCCGGGGCTCGGGCGGGCCGGGCTGAGCTCTGCGGCGCGGCGCTGCTAGCACTGGCAGCAGCGTGCTCCGCGTCTTGCGCTTCCTGCGCGGCTTCTTCAAGGTAGGGCGGTCGGGGGTGGAGACGGTGCAGGGCCGCGGGTTCCGGAGGTGCCCGCTGCCGTCGCTCGGCCCGAAGGACTGCGGGTGCGGAGCTGGGAACCGGGAGCAGGGCTCTGATCATCCTCGCGGGTCGCCCCTGCCCCGGCTGGGCGCTCGGCCTTGCCCTCAAGGTGGGCGGCGGGCGCGGCCCCAGGTGCCGAGACCCGGCTCCAAGGGAACAGGCTGGGGCTGAGCTCGGGGCGTGCAGAGGCGGGAGGTTTTGGGGAGGACGCCCTGTGACCTGCGAGGCCTGGGCCTGCGCTCCTGGCCCCTATCAGGTTGCGAGGCCCCGGCAGTTCGGGAAAATGCGGCAAGGAGCCAGGTGAACCCCTGCCGGACTTTCAGGGGCCGTGGCCTCGGCCTGGGAGGGCAGCCTGGGAGTCAGCAGTGGCCCTGGGAGCCGGTGTGCAAGATCAACAGGGCAGGTGACCTCTAGGAACTGAGGCCGGGGAGGCAGGGCAGGAGAGCTGGGGTCTGACCTGTGGCTTGCGGTTATAATCCCTGCCTGATTAGTTGTACAATGTTGCGACAACCACTTCACCACTTAGATTTTTGTGTTCTCCTTTGAAAAATGAAGGCAATCATCCCACACCCTTTAGGGAAGGATGTTAACGCACGTGTGTGGACCAGTGGAGGCAACAGGTCTCCAGGAGAGGCTACTGTGTGGCACCTGAGAAGCCCCTACTGGCCACAGGAGCTCATGAAGCAGGCCTGGTGGAGCTGCTGGACGTTCCTGGGCATCCACCTTGCCAATCACTGACACGCAGCTTCACTGAGGAAGCATTCCCATGGACAGGCGATTATATTCCCCTGTCTTCTCTGGTAGTCCTTCCCACACCTCCTGCCCCAGACGCCTGTGCCTGTGCTTAAGTCCTGCTAGGCTGGAACCACTGTGTGCGTACCAGGGGATGATCCAGTGTACCTCTCTGAGGAACCCCCTTGGTTCCTCAGAGCTGAGCACCACAGCAGTCCTTTTCTGGCTGTGCATGTGTGTCCTGCAAAGCCACCTGTAAACACAGGTCATGCTCGTGCTTTTTCAGACACTGGTTGTGTGGCAGGTGAAGGGAGACACCCGCTCCAGTCACCTCCTGGGACTTCTTGGGCAGGGTCCCATAGGAACCTCCTGATGATACCTGCCTGTCTGGCTTAGAGAATTCCTCCTCCCCCCGGGGACCTTAGAGTGTTGGGGTCTCCTCAGTCAGACCATGTCCCCCAGAGCCCAGAAGGTACCGTGCCTCACAGGGCAGGGCCTCACTTGTGTTATGCTGGAACTTGCTTGTAGGCTGTGCACAGCAACCACATGCACTGTGGGCATGGCAGCCATGGTGGAGGGAGTCTTAGGGCTTGACAGCCTGTGACAGAGCCCCTCCCAGGTGGACAGACCAGAGAGAGTTCTCATCCTCCTATACACACAGTGCTGGATGGGGTTCTGAGGTTTCAAGGCAGCAATCTTCGCTTTGGATGTGTTTCTCCCACTCATTTGCTGTATGACCCCAAGTTGGTGTAGCACCCTCAAAGATAGCACAGAATGCTCAGGCAGCTGGACACATCTGCTGCCTTCCTACATCTGTATGATCCAGTGGAGGTTCTTCAAGACAGAAAGGTCATGGTCTCTGCTGGCTGAACAAGGCAGCCCTCGTCAAGTTGGTGCTTTGTACTATTGCTAAGAAGCACAGCAAGTTTGCTCCATTAAGGAGCTCATGTGGCATTAGGGTCTGTGTCTAGATGTCCCAGCAAAGCCCCGTGTGCTCGTAGGCGGAGTTTTATGGAGGTGGCTGGATCTAGGACATGTGAATGTGGGTTAAGGCTGCGTGATAACTAAATTAGTCCACTAATGCATTCAGTGTAGTTCTGGTGTGGATAATGGGACAGCCCATTTAAGTGGGGTGGTACCACTCAGAAGGCTGGTTGGGATGGGATAGAAGGCAAAGAGAGGCCTGATGCTGCTACTTTGCTGCTTGATTTCCTTCCCTGCGCCAGTCTTGCCACACCAAGGACTGTTTCTCCTCTGCATTTCTTCCCTTGCCCCACCCCCGCCATGCTACCCTGCCTTGGAGCTAGCCAACTATGGACTGAACCCTCTACAACTCCTTTATTTTTGGGCTTCATGTATTTTGTCTCAGCAACAAGAAAAGTAACTAACACAAACAGGTAATGAAAGAATCTCTACAGCTGAACTCAAGACAGTTCACAGATTGTCTTCACACAAACCCAGCTGCCAAGTTAAACAGGGATGCACCAGAGATCTCTCTCCTAGATTGATACTATTTTTTTTTTTAGTCACCAGGGTGAAATATTAAATTTTCTTAGTCATCCTTTTGGAGTGGAGAGGATGTTACAGAGATAGCCTTTCCTGTGACAGAAGCCTCCATATCATGTCAAGGAAGGAGGGTGGTGTTCCTGCCATTGCTGGGCGTATCCTTGTCAGCAAGTCCCCAGGGACTGGGGCATTACTATGGGGCAGCTTCAGGGTGTCAGTGGGCTGCTGTGAGATAGGTGTGAGCTACAGCTCCATTTGTGACCTAACGTACCTCCATCTCCTCCTAGAAGCCCTCTTCACACTAAAATGAATTTTAGTGTCATTTTAGTATTATTGCAGGGCCAGTTCTGAAAGGTTCTCTGCATCAGCACTTTTAGATTTCCTGGGGTTGCCTGTGACGTTGCAGTGGCCACTGTCACTCAGCTTCCATGTCCGTCAAAAAATACTTGAGATAATCAGTTGACAAAGAGAGATTTATTTGGCTCCTGGGTTGAGAGTTTTTAGCATGTGGTCAGTTGGCCCATTTGCTTTTGGGCCTGTGACAAGATGGCACATGGTGACAGAGTGTGTGGGGGACCATGGTGCTTACCACATGGCTAGGACTGAGGGGAAGAAGGGGGACCAGGGCTCCTCAGTCTGCTTCCAGGACACGTTTTCCCAGACCCAGTGCCTCCTACCCCCTCCCACAGCACCAGGCTGGGACAGCCTTGCTCATACCAGGAAGTTTGGGGGAAGTTCCAGTCCCAGGCTGTAACTCCGGCTCCTCCGTGATTCCAGGAGTTCTGGATGTGTGGAGTCAAGTTGAGGAACTGGGTAAAGAAATGGAATGGATTCAAAAAATATTTATGGAACACATACTGTGTAGCAGGCATTCTGTAGGTCACCTGTGGAGATTGTCTGTAAGACCTAGTTTTAAGTGCTTTTTAGACACTGTAATCAAGATTACACATGTCATGTCTAGATGCATAGACATTGCCTGCCAGTTCCAGCACAGGGACCCTATGATAACTCACCAAGGCCCCAGTCCCCCAGCTGCAGTACATTCTGGCCTCTGGCACTTGAATTCTACTCTTATCATGGCCCTGCATGCTGACCTATAAAATTTCCACCTTTGACTGGGTCTCCAGCTGACTGAGAACAGTGTCTATGGCAATTTTCAAAGCTGTTGACATTCACCTTGCCGAAACATTTCTCAGTTCCCTGGGGCTGGAATCCCTTTTTGGTTCTTCTGGGGATACACTTAGGATATGAGCAGGTTAACCTTCTTCAATCCATACCAACTGTGTATCACTTCAGATATTTGTGTTCCTTCAGGGAGTTTTGGCTTTCCAGCTTCATTTCATTGCATGATTCTCAGGCCAAGGTTACAGAGACCACCTGCTTGGTGCATTCTGGCAGTCAGAGCCAGCACCCTGGCTGCAAAATGAGTGGGTGCATCTGTATTGACATGCTTACCTTGACTGGATTCGTGCCTTACTTCCTTAGTCAGGCCCTCTCAATCCATGCCTCCTTGTTTGCCCCTGGTTTTAGCGATACACATTGACAGAACCATAATTTTCTGAAGCCTGGGCCATTTCCTTGACAATTTCACATGTACAGCATTCCCCAGGCACAGAAGCAGGGAAGGGCCAGGAGGAGACGAGACAAACACACTTCTCTCTGCAAGGCCACTTGGAGAGTGGTAACAGCTTTGAAGCAGCTGGAGTGAGCTCTGTGTAGATGCTTTTCTTTTTTTATTATTTTTTTAAAAGGAGATTAAGATAAAAGAGAACATAACAACACAGGTCAGAACCAAACAATTTAAGCAACATAGTGTTTCACCACAAGATAACCTGACATAACAGTAGTTACCATAGTGTCTCTTTCCTTGAAATATTTGAGTTTATCTTCATATACTATAGCATCAAACATAACAAGACAGTGTAAAACATTCAAGAGAATGAAAGTATTACAGGGTATTTAGAACCAACTAACAGAAAACAAACAATGGTTTCTATATTATCTCCTTGTCTATAAAAATATTTTTTATACTATCACGTAGAATAAAATCCAATAAGAATCAACATGATAAAACTGGTGGAGACAGAAGAACAAAAGCTTGATGGGACTTCAAAACAAGATGATATTAAATCATCACTAGCTATTATAATGTGTTGTTTTCTTCAAAATAACTGTTCATACCATCACAGACAATAAAATCAAACACCTCAGAATAAAACCATTCCAATTAATGAGTGAAAACGCTATAAAAGGGTTCAAAGCCTTCAAATGTAATGAGGAATCATGATTACCACATACTTTTATGTATTCTTAGCATTTGTTACACTAGGGAAACTATTCGGTATTTATACATGTGAGTTTGATTTATTTTGCTTATGAGTACGGTCTCAAGGGGCTTCCATTTATTTATAAATGTAGATGTTTTCTCACTGTAGAGTTTTCTGCCCTTTCCCAAACTATCCACTCAGGGAGAGGGAGATAGCCCGTCCAGCTAGCTTTGAACTCAGAGGGTCACAGCCTACTAAACTCTCACTGCCTTCAGTTTGGAGATGCCTCAGTCCATGAGCTGTAAGAAAGAAGAGATATTCTGTGTGGTGAGTCACAGAGAAGCAACTAAGCCAGAATTCAGGGTCTGAGTTGGCTACTTTCTCCTTTCAAGCTGACCAGGGCTGTCAGAGGCATCAGGCTTACCTTATAACTCTTGGACTCTGCACGCCTTTCACTTGGGCATTGTAGGAAGAGCCTTTTTATCCTCCTCAGAGTACCCAGTAGACACTTGGCCACCACTGATGATTTACTTAGGGGCAGGCCTTGCATGCAATGAGATGCCAGTATTCTGTTTCTCAATATTCAATATATTTCCACTGCCTTTGGCTTTGACAAAGTGAAATAACCACCCCATCCCACCCTTTCCTGTGCATCTGTTATCTGTAATCATCTTGGTTCCAGTGTCTTTATTAGTGAAAGGTCTTGGTTGCAAAAGACAAAGGAAGAAGATAATATAGAAACCATTGTTTGTTTTCTGTTAGTTGGTTCCAAATACCTTTAAGTGAAAGCCAAGTAATTGTCTTAACAACTCTCAGGCCTCAGCTTGGGCAGAGGTTAAGAGGGATGACACATCGTTGGTCCTGCTGCTCAGGAGCCCCTGTGTGATTCTTCCTGGACAAGGGGTTCCCTCACCTCTCCTGATGACACCTGATTAGTTCTGTCCACGAGAGCTGCAGGCCTTGCTGGGGCTTGGCTGAGGGCAGGATGGTGGGATGTCAGCCATCTTTCTTTCTCTGGGAGGCAGATCTTGTTTTCCATCTTTCTTCTTTCAGGATGACTACTCAGACAGTGGGCAGCAAAGCAGTCAGTGCCCCACATGGCATTCAACGAAAGGAAAGTCCCCCCAGGACTCACTGCACCCCTTTGTGTTGGGGGTATGCAGGCTGAGTCTGAGGCCCTGAGGCACTGGCTGGTGGGGTGGGAGGGACACCTACACATTTGAACTGTTCTAGGTGAAAGTCACAGCAAGAGACCTGGCCACTTCATCCATCGGCTCAACAAACATTTTTCAGGTGCTTCCTCTAGGCTGGGCCGGGAGGGTTTTTGAGGCTGTTCTCTCTTCAAGCCGTGGGCACTGGGAGGGCAAGGCCAGGCTCAGAGCAAGATATGCTCCTGGGAAATGGTGCTGAGCCTGGGAAGAGCCAGGACAGCGCCCTGAAGGCCTCGCAGTGCAGCAGACCTGCCCAGGCTGCTGGGGTTGGTAATGCTGGGGATGTGTATGCTATATGGCTGTCAGCATGAGGTGCCCCCACCCCTTGCTTTGGCCCTCAGACACAGCCCTTGTGGGACAGCCTGATTCTAGCCACTCTATAAATTCTGGAGGTGCTGGGGTCTTGGGAGGGTTCGAACTGGCTGCCAGTTTCCCACAAGCATCACTGATCCACATTGCTTTTGTTCTCCTACCATGCAGTCCAAGCTCCTTGGCTGTTCCCTCATCTCAGAAAATGGCCATCCTGCTCCCCTCCTGCCATGATAAGGTGGTAATGGTCTCTCACTGAACCTGTTCTGCATGGCTCCTGAGATACCTGGTCCAGACTTCTGGGGATGAGGACGGGGCTGCTTGCAAGACTCTGAAGGCCCTCATCTGTGACTCTTTCCTGGGTCCTGGCATCCTGCCCCATATGACTGTGCACTTCAGTGGACATGAGCAAAGCTGTCTTCTGGGCTGTGACTTCCTATGTGATGAGCTCCTTGGGACGCTCTGAGGAAAGACTGAGGTTTACAGTTGGACCTGGTGAGGAGGATTTAAGGAAGCAAGGTTTAGCTCTAGACTGGACGTCATTAGGGAATGAAGGCCTTTCTGGGACCAGGCATCTTTAGTTTCTTTTCTGTTTACAGTGCTGGGCCTCATGTGCTAGGCAAGTGACCCGTGTGAGCAGGCGGCACAGGCTGGTGGCAGGGTGCTGTCCTTCCTTGATCCATCTTGGTTAGCCTGGCATCTCATATTCAGCACAAGAGCACCAGAGCCCCGCAGGGACACCAGGCCAGCTCCCTCTGTCAGGGACTGTGGTCCTCTCTGTCTTTTTTATTTTTTAGATAGGATCTCACTATCTGCCTACCACAGCCTCCCGAGTGTTGGGATTATAGGCATGTGCCACCTTACCCAGCGATGTAGATGTAGTTGTCTGTCTGTCTCTCTCTCTTGCTCTCTCTCCATACTTGGAAATGAGCATTTTGAACCATACACATTGGGTGTGTGTCCAATTCCCTCAGGAACTTTACCCACAGCCTCGTGTTGAGGCCACTCTTGGCCCCATAACAATTCTGTGGGGGAGGCCTGGTTAGGCAAAAGCCCCAGGCAGTTACCATAAGTATTCTGTCTGAGCTCTGGGTATGTCACTGATTTGTGGGTTCTGCTAAGCTTCAATCCTATTTATTTCTTAATTTCCCTTAAGACTTTCTCTTTGACCATGGAAGTGTCATTTGCTTTTCAGTAGGGCATTTTTATTGGTTTTCTGTTATTTTCAATTGGTTTCATATGGCCAGAGAACATATGCTGTATGATAGCAACTGTTTTAAATATTTTTAGGTTTGTTTGGTGACTCAGGGAATGGTCTATACGGCGCCGCGGGCAACGAAAGACGTAACTGTGTTTGGATCAGCTCTCAATATTTATTGTGTACAGCGAAGCTGGATCTGACAAGATCCACCACCCTCAAGTTTCTTCCTCTTCTGCCCGTTGGGGGCAGAAACACACACTTATATAGGATCTGAGTAACCAGTCAATACGAAGCAGAAGTCGCATGCTGATAGGCCACAGTCACCGGTAGCTAGGTAGACACTCATTTTGGCAGGGTTGTTTGCGCGGCAACAGGGACCCGGAAGCAGGAAACGGGCGCCATCTTAGGGGAGCGGCTCGAGCAACCCCCAACAATGGTCTATGTTGCTAAGTGTTTCATAGACATCTGAAAAGAATGCGTATTTTGCTGATGTTGGGTAAACTGTTGTGTACAGAGCAGATACAGTTTGGTGATGACCTCCTCAGCTGGTTATCTTTGCTGATTTTGTGTCTAGTAGTCTTATCAATTGTTGGTAGAGGGGTTTGTACTCCCCAAGTATAATTGTGGATTTTCCTCTTTTTATTTAATTTGTAAAATTCTACTCATTTGTTTTTCATGTGGTTTGAAGCTCTGTCATTTGGTACATACACATGTAACATTGATATATCTTGTTGGAATGATTTTTTTATCATTATTAAATTTCATTCTTTGTCCCAGTAATTTTTTTTTGCTCTGACATTTATGTTACCCAATAGCAGTACAACCACTCCTGCTTTTTTCTTTAAGTTAATATTAAAATATATCTTTTTCTACTCTTTACCTATGTTGCTATATTTGAAATGATTTTTTCCTAGATGTCATAAAATTGGATCATTATTTGGATCTACTATACCAATCTATATTTTAATGTCATATTTAGACCACTCCATTTAAAATAACTATTGGAATGTTAGAACCTAAACTTGTTATTTTAATATTTGCTTTCTTTTTGTTTCCTCTTTTTTTCATTCTTGGCTTTCTTTGGTCTGTCTTTCCTAGCGGTTACACTTTTTGTTGGACTTAGTATCATTTTATGGGACTTAGTATCATTTTATTTATACTCTTTTTTTTAAATGTCAGTATTTTGTAATTTTCTTATTGTTTGTTCCAGGCATGACAGTGTAGATATACGACTAATAACTACCTACTAGAGTGGATTTTTCATCACTTCTGGTGATATATTAAAACCTTATTTCCATTTAGATTCCTTTATAATCCTCCTTAAAAATACATTTTTCAAAGAGAGGAAAACAAAGTGCTCTAAAGGATACAACTGCAAATGTGTTTAGGTGTGTTAAGATAGATAACTATATTACTAAGTTTTTGTTGGATCATTGAACACAACTGTTTACAGTCTTACTGCTTGAATGTCCACTTTGTATGCTTTAATCCTGTAACTTGAGCAACTATTTCTAAGATGACAATGTGTAATCTATTAGCTAGTGATTTCTTACTGTTTTTTATGAAATTCTGTATTACTTGTACCCTTACACTGTTTTGTTTTTTTCTCCTTTAAATAAAATTTTTTTAAAATACATTTTTCAAGGATTTCATCTATATAAATTGAACAGCACAATAAATATTATAATTTTTGCTTCATTCGTCAAAAATGCTGTTATGATTTGAATGTGTCTCCTCTCAAATTCAGATGTTGCCAGTGAAGTATTATTAAGGGGTATGAAAGTATTAGGTCGTGAGGGCCTCTCCCTTCATGAGTGTGATGACCCTGTGTAACCCTATGTAAAAGAGGGTTCACCAAGCATTCAGGTTGCCCTTCTGCCTTTGGCCAGGTGAAGACAAAATATCCCTCCCCTCTGGAAAATGCAGGCTTCATTAGAAGGCAGTGTCTGCTGGTACCTTGATTTTGCACTTGCCAGCTTTTGGCTGTGAGAAACAAATTGTTATTTATAAATTACCTATTCATAACCTTGATTATTTTGTTACATTGCCACCAAAAGGACTAAGACATTTGTTATAGGAAATTCATTAGGATAGTTTATTACACCTGCCTCTGTTTTATCTCTTCTACTGTTCTTTTCTAAGTTGAAATCTCCCATAACTATTTCTTTTGTCTGGTAGTTTTCTTCTTCATTATTCTAGTTAGGAACTCTAGGAGAGTCTCTCTTAGCCACTTTTTAAGAGTAGGTTTGCTCACAACAAATCCCCATCATTTTCCTTTGTCTGAGATTATCTTGATTTCCACTTCACTATTAAAAATCTGTGTCCCTGGGTATTGCGTTTTTTATGGAATATTCTTTCTTATAGTATTTTTAAGAATATATAGGTTTCTTCTGGTCTTCATGGTTTCAAATGAGAAAAGGCTATCACTTAAGTTGTATTCTTCTGAGAGTAATTATTATCAGCTTTCTGTTATTATAACAAATATCTAAGTTAATAAGTTTATGAAGAGGAAAAATTTATTTTGGCTCTAATTTTGGAAGTTTCCAGTTGGCTGGCCATCCCCAGGGCCTTCAGCCTGTGATAGCACAGTATATCATGATGTGAGGGGTCATGGCCAGATGGGAAAAACAGAGGAGTGCGCTGGAGGACCATATCAAGAACACACCCATGACCTGGTTTCATGTCTTCCACTAGGTTTCATTGTCTTAAAGGCTCTCTTGCCTCCCATCAGTCCCAACCCAGAGACACATGCTTCATGAGACATTTCGGATTCAAACTATGGCAATAATGCCTTGTTTTTCTGTGGTTTCTACGGTGATTTTGTTTCATTTTAATTTTCACAAGCTTAATTATAATGTTTTGGGGCATAGGTTTCTCTAAGCTTAGCTTATTTGGGATGGATTCAGCTCCTTGACTCTAAAAAGTATGTCTCATACCATATTTGGGATGCATCAAGAATTATTTGTTTGTTTCTTCTCTGTCTCCAGGACTTCAGTGACACAAATAATGCCAAAGCTATGATCACTTTTCTCTCCTCCATTTTCTTTCTGTGGTTCAGGATGCTGTTGATTCCTCCCAAGTTCATGAAGTCTGTTTTCCATCCCCTCCACTCTACTTCTTAACCTATTAATTCAGTTTTATTTTTAGCCATTACAGTTTTTAACTTCATGATATCTACTTTCTTTCTATATTTGCTTCTATCATTAGAGTTTTTCTAATTTTACATTTGGTCTCAAGAATATTCATAATTGCTTCTTTAAGCAGTTTTTGGTTGACTGCATCAAAATCTGTCAGATTGTACCACCTGATTCTCTAAGTGTTGGATCAGCTGTTTTTTCTTATCTAAGCTATGGTTTTTCTGATTCTTGGCATGATGTGTGATTTCCAGGTACATTTTAAATATTCTTGGTATTATGTTAAGACTCTTGATCCTATTTACATTTTTTGGTTTTGCAAGCATCTGTCTTATCTAGATTGAGCATGTAGATCTAGCCCATTTTATTGGCTATAATTGCAACACCATTTCAGTTTTGGGATTTCTGTGTTTGTTCGTTTCTTTGAAAAAGGATCTCTCTCTCTGCAGTTCAGACTGGTGTTCACTACATAGTATAGGCTGGTCTCCAACTCACAGTGATCTTCTGCATTAGCTCCCAATTGCCAGGGTTACAGGTGTGCACCACCCTGCCTGACTTTTGTTTCTTGGTTGGTTCTGTGTTATCAAGGATCCAACCTCCAGGTGCTATGCCACCAAGCTTACATCCTCCGCCTCTTATATTTTTTATTTTGAGACAAGGGCTTGCTAATTTGCCAAGTGCGTCTTGAACTGTGATTCTCTTGCCTCAGCCTCCCAAAATGCTAAGATTACAGGTGCGTGGCACTGGGCCTTGCTCACATTTCAGTTTTCTTAGCCTTTGTACCACTGTCCTAGTCAGCTTCCCTCCCCTTCTTTATCCCTTAACACCATATTGATGCTGTCTGCAAGAACAGAAGTGGCGTCCTTGGGCAGCTGGCATTGTTGTGATGGAGCAGAAATCCTGACCTACAAGGCAGAGATTACTTCCTCTTCCCAACCACTTTCACCTGATGGGCTTGCCACTCTTACCTTTACTGCTGGGTTGGAGATATAACTCAGAGGCACAGTGCCTGCCTGACAAACACGAGGTCCTAAGTTTGATTCCCAATATTAAAAAAAAAAAATTTGAGAAAACCAAATCTTTGCTACTGCCCCTGGGAAGAGGACATTCTGCGCTTTTAAGTGCCACTGGCCTGTGTGACTGTCTATTGTCATAGGTTTGGGAGATGCTAGATGCTTTCTGCTGTTGAGCGAACAGTTCAGAAACAGTAGTCTGCTGGCCTGGCCAGTGCAGGCTCCTGGAAAGTGCAGTGCCAGAGGTGCTTGATTTCCCCATGTTCTGGACTGACAGATCAGCCTGCTGCTGCTGCTGCATGGTGCAGAGTGCGGCCGGAGGGTGGGTTGGCCTACTAAGGCCCTGGTGTGCCACTTCTGCCCCTAGTTCAGGTGGTTTCTGGTGATTACCCCTTTCATGGAGCTTTGGCCAAAGAGAATGGTCTGCCTGTGTTTTCTTAGATTCTGCTTTTTCAGTTTGGCATCCACTAGTTTAATCACAGAGTCAAGCGATCTCTCACTTATGAGCCAGGCCAGATCCAGTGCCATCCTCTTTTACCAGTTCTCACACACTAAGTCAGGGTTCCCCTGCCCTAAATCAGTCCAGAGCTAAGGACTTCCCTGTGCCATAGAATCACTCAGATCTACCATCCCTGGGTGGTTTCCCTGCCCTGTCTTATCTTTCCATTGAAACAGCGAAAGCTGTGGCTTAGATTAGCCCTTCACGCCTCTGCTTCCTGAGCTGTAGTGGTGCTTACCTTGTGGCCTGCACAATGATATAGTGTCTTCTCTTGGAAACTGTAATTAACATTAATCTTTTCCACACAATAGACCCTCCACATTGTCACTTGGTCTCCTTCATGAAAGTTCCATGTGTAGAAGGATCAAGGCTGTGTAACAGTACAAGGATACAGTTGTATGAAGGAGTAACTTTATTAATCTCTAGCATGGTAGGATAAGGCTGACCACAATTATTTCAAAATAATCGGTAGGGTAGATTTCAAATATTCCCAACACAAATGGTAGATGTCTGAGATACTAGATATGGCCAGTTACTGTGATCTGATCATCACACAGTGTGTTCATGTACTGAAATGTAACACTGTACTCCATACATATGCACAATGATATGTCAGCTAAAAAATATATCTTTTAAAATTCCATGAGTACAGGTGGAACAGACAGCAAGTTTTTTTTCTCTCTACCTTTCCTCCTTCTTCATTCTATTTGTTCCTTCCTTTTTTTATTTTAAAGGGAATAAAACAAAACAGTAAAATGAAGCCAAACAGAGATAGGACAGTAGGAAATTCACAGTCATTACTATATTACATATCGGCATCCTCTAAATAGTTGCTTAGACTACTGGCCCCAGGCTTGCAAAGTTCTTCATTCTTTCTGCCTGTTTGTGGCTACAGGTTCCAGTGCTGTCTGGTTGCCAGTGGACCACATATGGGAGATGAAACAGGAAACCCAAGGAATCAAGTACTTGTAGTGTTAGCATATGAGCAGGCACGTGTATCCCTTATGGTCTACGTGGGAGTGAAATGCAGAAGCTCGCCAACCTCACCGCCCTTCATCACAGCATGCAGTACGCTCCGTCTGTGAGCTCCACACTCCCAGGTTCACCCAACTGTAACATTCACAGGATCCATTCGCACTGCAGGGTTCCTCCCCACATTTCTTGTTTCCTGGTCTCTTCAATGAATCACTTAGTCTTCTTAGCCCACTGACTGTATGTTTTCAATTCTGTCTGTACAGAATACATACAGCACATGAACCTTGCAGAAAAACACATACAAACCACAGCACATGCTACAAAACCAGAATCTGAGGAAGATTAAGAACAGAGAAACCACAGGTTGAGAAATAACAAAGTCAAGAGAAGTATGCTGGAACAAAGCAAAACAAAACAGAAAAGGGGAGAGTTCAGGGAAGAGAGTGGTGTGGTTGAGTTGAGTGTCGGAACCCATAGAACAGTCCGATGGGCTATGAGAGCACAGCGTGTGTGTCAGCTTCTCTCTTCTGCTGTAACTAACATCCGTAAACTTGGAGTCTTAAAACACTGTAAGATTTGTCAAATGATGTGGAGCTCAGGAAGACTAGTGTAGGGCTCACGGGACCAAATGCAACACATTCACAGGATCCCTTCGCACTGCAGGGTTCCTCCCCACATTTCTTGTTTCCTGGTCTCTTCAATGAATCACTTAGTCTTCTTAGCCCACTGACACATCTACTCCGACTTTTATGCCTGTTTTTTTTTCTCTATAAAAGGCCACACAAACAATCCATCATAATCTCCTCAAGTCTTTAACACAACTGCAAAATCTCTTACCTTAAATGGTAACACTTATGGTTCCAGGAATTAGTACACAAAGATGGGATGTGGGAATACCAGTTTGCCTATGATAGTCTAGAAGAAACAGTAGGAAAAATAGCAACCTTAGGTTGAAGAGCATTTTCTTAATTTGATACATACACAAAAATGATGTATGAAAATCAATGAATCAGGCTTCACTGAAACAAAAACCTTTGCTCTTCGAGAGATATTGATAACAAAATTAAAAGGCAAGCCACAGCCTAGAAGACACTATTTGTAAAGCATATATCTGACAAAAGACTTTTAGCCCTGCTATTTGGTGCCATGCGTGGGCTGCTGGGGGGACAGCCAGATGCCAACCTTTACCCATGAGTCAGTGCCATTCACAGACTGCAAGGAAAGAGAACAAGAAGTAAACCCTCCCTGTGAATCAGTACTATGTGCAGGTCGCTATGGGGAGAGCCAGGTGCCTGCCCCTTCCGTCATGTGGGCTGGGAAACAGCAAGAGGTAACACCACCACCCTCTTGCCATAAGCCACCTGCTGATCCAGAGAAACACAGGCTATGATGATAGCTACTGAGGTAACGTACAACTTAATGCTTGTAGTGTTTAGTGTTTCACCGACTTTGCAGGTCTAAAGCTCGTAGATCATCTATTTAGAGGATAACAGTACACAATGTAACAGGAATCTCCTTCTGACAGTGGTAGCAATAGTTAATTCCTTATCATCTTGTTTTGCAGTCCTGTATCATTTTCATTGTTTTGTTGGGTTGGGTTTTATTCTGTTTTATTTTGTTTTGTTTTGTTTTGTTTTGTTTGAGTTAATTATATCTGATGGCATGGGCAACTATTTCAAAGATAACAAGATTTATTGTAGTAGTCATTTTGAATTTACAGTTATCTTGTTTTGAAGTCCTTTACTACATTCATTGTATTGTTTTTATTGGTTCTATTCTGTTCTGTTTTGTTTGATTTTTACTATGTCTGAAGGTATCTTCAGGTATTTTGAAGACAAAAGGAGGCATTATGGTAACCACTGTTGATTTCCTATTGTTTTGAAGTCCTGTATCACTTACACTGGTTTGTTTTTATTCTGTCTATTTTGCTTGGTTTTATTGTCTTTAAAATAAAACAAAAAAGACTTGTATTTTACATTCTTACCAGTTGTTTTTGTTTTTTGTTTTTTGTTTTTGGTGGTTGGTTGGTTTGACTAATGCAGAGTCTTGCTGTGTAATCCAGGTTCCCCTTGAACTCTCTGCAGTCTTCCTGCCTCAACCCTACTGAGTCCTGAAATTATATGTGTGCACTACCATGCCCGGCCTGCAGCCCAGTTTTTAAAATAGGCAAAAGATTTGATCAGATATTTAACTAAAGAAGATGTACATATGAAAAAGAAGTTCAGTAAAACTTTTATATATGAGTGTAATTTGTTCTGAAACCAATTCCAGAGTATAATTCATTCTTATAATCCAAAGTACTTGTACATCAAACTGAATTTTCCCATAAGAAATAATGAAAATTCAAGTGATTTGTTCCACAATTCAAAAGTGTTCATATAAAAATGGTTACAATAGTGTAATATAATATAAATATAAAGAAAATTAAATAAATTAACCTGCACTTACCTTTGAAAATCTTTATGGCTGGTGCAAGGGATTATGAGAGGTAAGGGTTACTGCATAGTTCTGCTGTCACTAACGAAATCACTGCTGTCTACTGTCTCAAGGGAGTATTTTTGCTTTTGTGTAGCTTTAGTAAGGAACCAGAGGCACTTGCTTTTGCCTCCTTTTCAAGATCTCACAGAAATGTGACATTGCATTATTGTTAAACAGATTTATCACTCACACTGCTACATGCTTATTTAGGGGGGTGCTTTTCTACCAAAGTTTGCACTTTTCCCCAAATTTTGCACATTTCCTTGATCTTATTTGAAATGAGGGATTCCTCTGCCTTTTTTTTCTCCTCTGCTGACGAGATCTCCTCTACAATCCCATAGGGAGCAGAAACGATTGGCTCAGTTGTGATCATGTGATATTTGGTGTCACATGCTACTGGTATTGCAAGACATTGCTCATTTATCAAATTTAAATTTATTAGATATGTTTGCCTGTCTTGTGGAACACACGCAGAACAAATTACTAATAATCCAAGGTTTGACTGACTGTATGCGAAAAGCTGCTTAACATCATCTGTCACTGGGAAAATGTAAACTCAGACCACAGGATGCCACTTCACAATCACTGCAAGGTGTACAGTAAGAAATACTGCTCATACCTGATGCTGGTGAGGATGGGGAGCAGCTGGACTCATAGCTAGCAAAGTCCAGAAGTGGAAAACCACTTGCAGTTTCTTTTTTTTTAAATTTTATTTAAAGAAAGACTAAACAAAACAGAAAATGGATAGAATAATACATACGTTCAGAGAAAAAATAAACAGAAATCACTAGTTAATGTTTACATACTGTCCTTTTACAAATATTTGTTCAAGATACAAAAGTGGAACATATAAAGTAAGAATTCAAACAGAGAGACTGCACAGTTCTGTTCAACTATCAACAAAAACTTATGTTTTGTTTTATAGTTGAACATAGTTGTAATATGGTTGTCAATCTTATACACTTAAACATACATGCAGTTATCTGTATCTTCATTTATGTTGAGATTAAACAAACTAAAGCAGGCTAAAGTCATTCTGAATAAAGAATAATAGTATTGTTGGATTTCACATCATGACACTCCGGGATCAACACTGGGTACTGTAGTGTCTTTTTAAAAAAAATTTTATTTAAAGAAAGACTAAACAAAACAGAAGATTGGTAGAAATAATACATACTTTCAAAGAAAAAAATAAACAGTAAGAAATTACTAGTTGATGATTACAGATTGTCCTCTTACAAAGTTATTAAAGACATTAAAGTGGAGCATATAAAGTGGGGATTCAAACAGTAAGACTGAAACCAGTTCTGCTCAACTATCCAACAAAAACTTAGAAATATAGTTATCAATCTTATACACTTACACATACATGCAGTTATCCATATCTTCAATAATATTGAGATTGAACAAACCCAAGCAGGCTAATATCACTCTGAACAAAGAATAAAACTATTGCTGGGTTTCACATTATGACACTCCAGGATCAGCACTGGGTACTTTAGTGTCTCTTTTTCTTCAAAGTATTTATTCATTTCATTATGTGTCATAAGATCAGTTCTCATAAACTGTTTATAAATTCTACACATGCATGAGTCTTAACATGTATTTCTGTCCTTTCTATATTAGAGGGAGAAACAAAACAAAGCAAGACAAAACAAAACATATTCCTATAAACACATGAAATGAAAAAGACATTTAAGACCATTGTACAAGGAGTTCTACCATAGTTCCTACATTGTCTCTTGTTATCTTCAATAGAATTGGCTATATCGTCAGTCATAGTATAATTGAATATATCAGTACATAACAGTATTAATAAAAACACAACTTTGTATATAGTATAAAACTTCAAAAACAAGAAGTTATCAAACCAGAATGTGTATCGTAGAGTCTTGTCATCTTCAGTGTAGTTGCCTATACTCTCAGACTTGATACTATCAATCATATCAGTTTTGAATAAAATCTGTCAATACCAAACAGCAATCAAACAAACCAGATTTAACTAAGACCAGTCATGATAAAACAGTATAAGTCATACAGGGCTCCAGATTAAGGTAATAGGAAATTAAAGATGATTACTGTGTACTTGCACTTTCTTAAGAAATTAAACTCCTGCCACAGGACACTATCATTCCATTCCTCGGTATTTACCCAAGAGAAACAAAGACATATATCCATTTAAGACTTGCATGCAAATGTTCATTGCAGCTGTATTTAAAAATCCAAAAACTGGAAACAACTTCGATGCTCATCAGCAGGTGAATGGATAAACTGTGGTACTGCTATATAGTGGAATGCAAGTTGGCAATAAAAGGAATGGATTCCTGACCCGGGAACAACAAATGAATCTCAAAATAATCATACAAATGGAAACCATCAGACAAAAAATACATAAAATTATAATTCCAGGGCCAGGGATATAGCTCAGTGGCACAAGTGCCTGCCTGGCCATTGTGTAAGGTTGTGAGTTTGAAAACTGGTACCAAAAAAAATTCCATTTATGTGAAATTCTAGAAGTGCAAATTAATGTATAGTGGCAGAAAGCAAATAAAAATTACTCCCAGTTAGAGAGGCACACAGGAATGCTGAGAGGGACAGAAGGGAAAATGACAAAGAAGCATGACATTGCTCTGGAATGAGAGAAGTGTATGGATTGTGGTCATGGTTCTACAGGTGTGTGTCAAAACTTCAGCTGTATATTTGCAATGTGTATGGTTTATTTCCTGTCAGTTATTTATTGATAAAGCTGCAAAAGTTAAGAGGGGAAGGGAGGGAGGGAAGAAGAGCCCAGGGTTTAGCATTGCAAGGGTCATCCAATGCTTGGACTGACTGTGAGCAGAAAAGTAGGACTTCTGACTCTAGAACCAGGCTAGACAATGGTTCCAGAAAGTCCCCTGCAACAAAGTAATTTTCAGGTAAACCTAGAGATATAGTATAATAGTTCTTTAGGCAGACTCTAAAACAAAACATAATTGAGTTGTGTGTGTGTGTGTGTGTGTGTGTGTGTGTGAGAGAGAGAGAGAGAGAGACAGAGAGAGAGAGAGAGAGAGAGAGAGAGAGAAGAAAAGGAGTCAGAAGGTATGAATCACAATGGATGAAAACCATGTATATCAATGATCCCTCTGAGTGTTCACAGGCCAAACTGAGTAAAGGTGATTGAATGATTGGATTCTGCACACCTAGCTATATGGCTATGGAAAACACATCTAATGAAAACAGAAAGACTGACAGTAAAGGAAAGGAGACCTAGAGTAGGCTCATGGTAACTCAAAAGAAAATAGCTATGTGTATATTAGCATAAGAGGAGATAGCATTTAGCTTTTATTGGGGATAATAATGCAAAGCCCTTCATTGCTAGTATATTAAAAGCACCATTCCTGAGAAGACACAACAATTCTAGACTCGTTCATGAACTTTCTAACACAATGCTGAAATATGTACATCGCTGATGACAAAATTAAAAGAGGAAATTGCGGACTCCTCTCCAGCAGTGCATGACTTCAGCATTCTTAGTGACATAAGAAGAGTCAGTCAGATTATTGAGGACTGAAACAGAATCATCAAGCTTGATGTAATGAGTGCATGTGTAACATCGCAGTGAACTGCTATGGAGTGGGCATTCTGTTCAAACACCATGAGCTGTTTGTGAAGTGGAACCTTGCAGTATGCAGTGAAGCTAGTTTCAACTAATTTAAAAGACAAATATTATATAAAACACATTCTCTAATCACAGTGTAGTGAAATAGAAGTCAGAAACTAAAACACAAAATGATAACTAAAACTCCTAGTAAATGTCAAAGTGGAAATCTTAATAGGAATTAGAGTAAAAATAGAATTGCCAAGTTTATTTCAACATTCGAAATACTGTATATTGAAACTGACATATAACTAAAGTTGCATTTAGAGGGGATATCATGCCCTCACATACTAACATTTTTAAGAAGAGGGTGTAGGAGATGCAGTGTGGAGAGTCAGTGTGTTCTGTGCTGGTGGTGCATCCCTGGGTCCCTGCGGGAGGAGATTTTCTGCCAGCAGTGGGGAGGAGGAGGTGTTGGTCAGGGAGTGGGTGCAGGCCCATAGAGTTCTGCTAGTCCTGGCCTGTGTGTCACCAGTTCACTCCTTCCTTGTGGGGATGTAAACACAGGTGAGAAGCCCATCACTCCAGTATCTGAGGCTCAGATCATTACAGCCATGGAACAATTGGGAAGTCGCTGCCTGGCCTGTGACCACACAGTGAGAATATTTGAAGATGGCTCACTGCCACCCCTGCTAAAAAAAGAGAGAAAAACTCCAGGCCTCAACAATAAGAGTACTTTGGCTTCTAGATTATATAGATTTATGCCAAGAACTATTGAATGGAATCCAATTAAGAAACAAGTACAGTCATCCCTCATTAGCTCCCGGGAAATACCTGCTTTCCAAATCCCTTACACAGTGGCATAGCCTTTGAATGTGACCTGCACGGATCCTGCCAGAGACGTACAGTCACATCCAGATTACTTATC